AACAGTGTATACATACTTTTGGGACACCCTGTATAAGAAAGGTCCGTTTTTTTTTGAGAGTGATAATGCGAGGAATGGGCAGGATTCGCCAATCAGAGTTCTCAATGGTGATTGGCTACTGCTTGCAGATGGGTGAGCACATTGGCCAATTAACTGCTGATTGCTCCGAAGGGGTATAGGGCTGACTGGGCAATCCCGTCCATTCTGCACCTTTTCAGAGCCAAGAAAGTGTTTTTTCGATAATTTTGCAGATCTAAGGCAGGTAAATCTAGCGCAGAAATTTAAAATGGTTTACATGGACATTGCCTTCAAAACATTTTGAAAGTATTTTTCTGTCATAAACTTTGCTTTTTAGGTAGCCGTGGTTTCCCTCGATAATGGGGAACCATGCATTGAAAGTTGTGCTGGAATCGGAAATGCTGCTGTGACAGCAGCATGTACAGTACCGCCACCACCAAGGTAATAAACTTCTTCTTATTTCATGATTACCATATCTTAACATGAGATCTTTTCAGGAGAAGAAAACGGAAAGTGAGGTCACAGAGATCGTTTGAGCACCTGACGAGAGCAGAAACGATTTTTGACAAAAACAGGTTTGTAAAAGAATAAATCTTTTATACGAACAAGCACATAGAAATTGTGTGACTTCTTCCAGCAGTGGAGAATCATCCGATTCTGACGATGACAACGGCACTGGTCAGATAAGTGTATGGATAGGGAATGACGATGGAGAGTACGTTTTTTTAATTACTCTGGTTTCTGTATGGGGCTCAATGCTATGCTTTCTCTACTATAAGTGTTTTCAGAGTATTTGTTGTCAACTCTACCGAAAGGGTGAGGACCCGAGCTCGAGAGCGGGTGGCCAGGTTGAACTACCCGGTTACGGCAATCGCTTCCGTTGGTGGCTATGTTTTTGTCGCCACTGGCACTGCTTCAAATGTACAGCTGCTTAGATTTCACACTTCTGCAGGTAAGTAAAGATCACGTGACTAGGAATTCTTTCTAACTTTTATCCAGTTCCTTTTCATTACTACCCTTTTCTCTTTTTTGCTCCAAAAATGATCAAAAACATTGAATATTGATGATTTTTGTTTTAGGCCCTTCTATCTGTTTATGCAGCATGTTTGATGCGGATAAAAATTGATCGTAGGCACATCTGTCACATAAATTCTAACTCGTTGGAAAGAATAGCCATAAAAATAGTTTTTCCAGACGATGCCAGATTTTATCGTACTTTGGAATTTTTGGCTAATTTTCAAATTTTCTTTTCTTCATCTTCTATTCGGGCGATATGCCAACATGATTTTTGTTTTGAGTA